GCCAATCCCCCACCTCCCCGTTCCTGTAGGACTGGAGGTCCTGGCCTGGTCTCCCCACCCTTGGGGCAGGAGGGGGAGAAGTGGGACACAAACCAGTGCGGAGCAGATGTGTTCCCTCCGGCCCCTGCAGGAAAAGGTACACACACTGACTGGCTCCGTATTCAGTTCAGGTGACCTCAGACCCTGCGTGGCCTGCGGAGAGGAAGGGGGCTGGTTGAGTCACCCGCCAGGAAGGACACCCGAGCCCCACTGCTGGCCCTTGTGCTTTCGTACCGAAAGTACACATGATAAGATCGGATAGTGACGGGCACCCGGGTCCCACCCGTTCTGCGGCATCCCCTCACCTGGTCCTGCCTCACCGTCAGACCCCAGGCACCTTGGCCACGGGGAACGGTTAGGCCTCTTGCAGGTCACAGCTGATGGCAACCGACCATCATCGCCCCACCTGCTGCCCTGAGCTCTGCTTCCGGCCGGGTCCCTCCCCAGAGTTCCTGGGACCCCTCCAGGCCAGGATCCCGTCCAGTTGAAGGGTGGAGGTCCCCCAGGCCTCTGACAGCAAACCCCACTCCCTTGTATAGGTTCTTCTTGGCTTCTTTGAAGTCCGCCATGATCAAAGGCTGCCGGGAGCCACCTTACCCCAGCATCCTGACTGATGCCACCATGGAGAAGCTGGCACTGGCCAAATTCGTGGCCCAGGAATCTAAGTGTGAGGTAGAGCCGGGAGTGCAGGGGAGGTATTGTTAGGTGTTAGGGGCCAGGCGACGCAAAAGGACGTCTTTAGGACCTCTCCATCACCCACCTGGGAGGGGCTCTCCTACCCTCGGGTCCTGTCCCCCACCCCACTTGGGGCACGGCCTTGCCTTCTCAGCGGCCATTCCTGGTGCTGGGCTGCTGGTGAGCCCGACCCAGACCTCACCGCTCTGTCTGCTGCCCCCTCCCCCCCCCGCCCCAGGCCACCGCTGTCACCGTGCGCTTCTACGGGCTTGTGCACTGGGAGGACCCCCTGGATGAGTCCCTGGGTCCAGTGCCCTGCCACTGCTCACCCCCTGAGGGCGCCATCACCAAAGAAGGCATGCTGCATTACAAGGCAGGCACCTCCTACTTGGGCAAAGAGCACTGGAAGACTTGCTTCGTGGTCCTCAGGTGGGGGCTCCCACAGCTCTGGCCCCGGGCTCGACCTGGGGCTTGTTGGGCCCTCAGCGGGGGTCTCCCTTGGACCGGCCCCCCGGGAGAGAAGCCCACGGGGGCATCTTTCCACCCCCACAAGGGTTTTGGAGCAGACCCCTTCCGGGCTGCGAGAGCTTCTGTGTAAAGCGGCCGTCTCTGGGGCCCGAGGATCCTGGGGCGCATCAGGTGGGGGTCCGGGCAGGGCTGCTGCCAAGGTTTTCGCCATCCCCAGGTCTGCTGAGGGGACAGCACGCCCTCCCGAGCCTCTGCAGTTCTCTCTTCACCTTCCCTTCCACAGAGGGCAGGCCCCTTGGCCTCTGGGGCTTAAGGCCCCAGTTGCAGGCCCCCCCCCCCGGGATCTGGGCCCCACCTGGCCTTTGGTTCTTGGGACGGGCCTCACCCCTGCCATGTTGTGCCCCTGCAGCAATGGGATCCTCTACCAGTATCCCGACCGCACAGATGTCACCCCTCTGCTCTCTGTGAACATGGGGTGAGTGTCCTAGCGATGGGGGGCTGGGCAGGCGTGAGGCCTGGCGGTGCTGCCCGCAGGTGGCGGCTCTGGCTGAGCCTGGGACCCGGGGCTCCTGTTCTCCCTGGCTCGAGCTGACACCCCACCCCCTCGTGTCAATCAGTTCGGCCTGCCCCCACTCAGCCCCACCCCATCCGGCAGCCCTGACCACTGCCCTGGGGTCTGCTGAGCCCTGAGGCTGTAGGACCCCAAGCAAGGGGAGGCTGGGCATCGTCCTGTCAGGGGAGCAAGAGGAACTCCCTGCCAGGAGGGTCTGTCCGGGCAGGGGAGGCGGTCCCTCTCCTGGGAAGCTCCTGACCTGATGGAAGATGGACACACAGGTGCTTGGAGAAAACCTGGGGCCCACAGAGGCGACGGGAATGAATGTGCCCTGATGCCAAGAGGGCCAGAGCTAAGAGCGGATTCTCACCCCTTGCCTGGCCAGGTTGAGATATCTAGAAGGATCTTGGCAACTCTGGCAGTTCCCCTTGCAGAAGTTGTCACTCGGAAAGGGCCGGGCCCGCCTGGCAGCTTTAAGTCTCTCCTGAGAGCCGAAGGGGTCCATAGCACCTTCCGGTGGCCTCCAGCCCCCGGGACCGCGGGTGCAGGCGCACCCGTGTCCGACACCACCCCTGCCTCCTTGCTCCCCTTTCACCCCTCCTCCTCTGGCCCAGGGGGGAGCAGTGCGGTGGCTGTCGGAGAGCCAACACCACGGATCGGCCCCACGCCTTCCAGGTCATCCTCGCCGACCGGCCCTGCCTGGAGCTGAGCGCGGACAGCGAGGCCGAGATGGCCGGCTGGATGCAGCAGCTCTGCCAGGCCGTGTCCAAAGGGGTGAGCGCCTCCGGCCTGCGCCGCTCGTCTGGCCTCCCGACCCCGTCCAGCCCCCTCCGGTGTCCCTTCCCCAGACCCACACGCACTCACAGAGAGCACTCACAGAGAGGCCCATGAGGACGAAGACGGGGACCTCCAGGGGACAGCCCAGGAGCGGGTCCTCGTGCTCAGGGCCGCCTGTGGGCCGGACACTCCCACTGTCACCCCTGTCCCCACCTCCACTTCCGACTTGGGTGGAGCCCGCCTGACCTCTGGCGCAGGGGGAGCCCAAGGGCTGGCTGGGCCCCTGGAGGGGGCAGGTCTGGTGCCACCGACCCCCGGAGAGCTCCAGCTTGCCTCTCCCCTCTGCCGATGCCCTTCAGGTCATCCCCCAGGGGGTGACCCCCAGCCCCTGCATCCCCTGCTGCCTGGTGATTACCGATGACCGCCTCTTCACCTGCCACGAGGACTGCCAGACCAGCTTCTTCCGCTCCCTGGGCACAGCCAGGCTGGCCGACATCAGTGCCGTCTCCACGGAACCCGGCAAGGAGTACTGTGTCCTGGTGAGCTGGGCCCGGGGGCAGTGGAGGCAGGCCCTGCGGAAGGAGGGCCGCTTCTGCTCACCTGGGGACCCGCCCTCCCCAGGAGTTTTCCCAGGACAGCCAGCAGGCTCTGCCCCCCTGGGTCATCTACTTGAGCTGCACATCTGAACTGGACCGATTCCTGTCTGCGCTGAGCTCCGGGTGGAAAACCATCTACCAGGTACCGAGCCACCCGGGGCCCCGAGGAGTGGAGCCGCTGCCCCGGGGAGAGGAGTCCTTCCTGTGTGGCACAGAGGCAGGAGGCAGGGGCCCGGGGACGGCGCTGTACCAGCAGCTCTGGGACAGCCCGGAACATTTAGGACCAAAAGGGCAAGACTCCGCCCTCCAGCGCATCTGAGGCCACAGCCAGACGCAGAACCTGGGACACACTGCCCCTTCTTGGTCCCGTGGTGCCGAGGGTCTCCAGGGCTCCCGTGGAGCCCCGGGAGAGCAGGGTCCTGGGCCGAAGCCCTCACAGACCCCCCTCTCTGCCCCCGCACAGGTGGACCTCCCCCACAAGGCCACCCAGGAAGCCTCCAGCAAGAAGTTCGAGGATGCCCTGAGCCTCATCCACAGCGCCTGGCAGCGGAGCGACAGCCTGTGCCGGGGCAGAGCCTCCCGGGACCCCTGGTGCTGAGGCGGAGCTGGCCGGCCCCCCCCACCCCCACCCCCCCGCGGGCCAAGAAAGGCGAGCGGAGCAGCACACGCAGTGGCCCGCTGGGGCATCATGCCGCTTGGGGCCTGGCTTCCACCCCTGTTCCACAGCCCACTCCCACCCTGGGGGACAGAACCACCGACCGGGGCCTGAGACGGGGTCTCTCCCCTCCCAGGGATCCAGAATGGGTGCTCCGCACACCCCTGGGCATCCTGCCTGGCCAGTGGTGCCCGGAGAGTGCTGCTGGGGCGGAGGGTCTGAGCCCTATGGGCTCTGTGTACGTGGCACATCCGGATGTATCTGCGTCTCTTCAGGACGGCAGTGAGAATAGTATCAGCTTTGAGGGGAGCGGAAGGACCGAGAAGGCAGCAGTCCCCTCTTCCTCTCCCGAGTGAGAGGTCTGGGCAGAAACCCGGCCATCCTTGTTCATTTTTGAACGTTCAGCCGGCTGTGCAGGGAGGCCGGGCACTAAGGTCTCGGTGCATGTTTCCTCCTCGCTATCTCTGGCCCCCGGCACACTGCTGCCTGCCTCGCCAGGGCCCACAGCCGGGGGCAGGGGCAGGGGCCGGGCCGGCCCTCCCTGGCTGCCCAGCGGCCCCGCATGTCCACGGCCCCCTGCCCCTGTCTC